AGGCCTTCGTGGATGTGCTCTCCGTTTGTCGGTAAATACCATTAAATACCATTGTTAGATTTACTTTGATGAAGATGCCAATGAAATGAAGATTTGAACCGTTGATCTGCGACACTGAGATCCCACACAGGGGAAAATGAAACTTGTAGAAGTTTTTTCTGCATCAACCTCAATCAGATGAGATCTTTGGACATTTTGCGGCCGCTAATCTATGGAATATATTAATATTCATGAAATGTGTATATGTTAGTTTAAACAGTAATATAAACAAGCGGTAAAACGTTAGTAGAATAATTTATTTTACTTTAGGCACAGGAACTATTGGACCAGATATTCCGCGCTGTCGAATCTTTTTTATAGCTGGCGCTACTTCTCCTTAGACCGCAGAAACATTCCAAAGAGAGAGCGGGCGACTAATTTTATCGCCTACAACCATTAACCGCACCTATATTATGCTGTGAGTAACCTGTCCTAAGCGTTTAGCTGAATGCCTTCCCAGATGGCCTAATTTCTCCCCTTCATTCACTCGTCACAGACATTCAAGTCTTTTCTGCTACGGTACCGCTAATGCAAATATTCCCATGATTAGTTTTGAATCAATATTTCCTGTTAATTTCGTTATTTGTGTTCCCTCAATGCTTACCTTTTGCCTTATGAAAATACGAATGTAATTTATTTCTTGTTATGATGATGACCACATTGTAGGTTCCAGGCAGAATTTGGGATCGGGCGTCTCCGGTGGCGTGTCATCCAAAAGATGTTTTGTTCCGTAAAACGCCTGTCCAAATTCGCATAAACTTATGGACATCTTTTATCGTATGAACATCAGAAGCAATATTTAAACGTTCAAGCATACAAAATTCCACAAAAGGTATTTTACTCGAACGGTTTGCACAACGTCTCTAATTCCGCTAAAGCTCTCTTCCATTCCACCGTTGTTCACATGTTTATACACGGAGTTTCCTCTTTATTTCTGAAGTGCTAAGAATATGTGATTTAGTTTGGACAGATGAAGCCAGAATAAACATTACAGTCACGGTCAAACTATATAAGCGCTCCTGAGAATTGAGTAATGTTAAACAAGACAGGTGTTTAGAACGGATATTGTCAGTATTGTAAGTCATCGTGATATGCAAGGGATATACGTTCACTAGAATATGATAGGCTGCTGGCGTCAGTTTATGACAAATGCTGAAGACTTTAAGATTTGTAAGTTACAATTTATTAAAAAATTATGCGTATAAAGAAGCCATAATACACGAGAAAAAAACCTCATATAAAATCACAAATATTTGTTGCGATGTGGCATAAGTTTATTCTGGTATGTCAGGTTCTGGTTTTTGAGCCATACGTACAGTGATTTCTGTTTCATTTAATTTGTGCGGCTGGGACCCAAGCGCCTTTAGTACAGCGTAC